ATATAATTATACTTATTCATTCATCACAGCTAAAAAACAATAGGTCATACATACATAAATTATAGTGAGACAGTTCAATATCATAATGAGTAGTATCACAATATGCAGTTTCATAATTTATTCGCTGAGCGACAACCAATAAGACAATAACTTTTAAAATGTATAACTATAAATATTAATTTTATTTTCATTACCCAACAATTTAATACAGACGTCGATCCAAGCGTGGATTTATTACAATTTTATAAAAATTTAAACGAGCATAGCAGTAATAATTTTAAACATTATGCGTTAATTATCAAATTAATTGCCCATCTCAAACATATTCATTAGGCAGCTTATGAAATTATCATTAATGGTCTTAATCAAAGACGTAATTTACGGGAAACGATCTAGAAATGAATTATAACGCGAGAAACGATCTAGAAATGAATTATAATGCGAGAAACTTGTATTTGGACATACTATTTAATGCATATAATAACCATATCAAAACTTAAATAATAAATATTAAAATTAAAATAAATATAGAAATGGTATTCATAGACACAAAAAGAGATAAGCTTAACGCGCTAAAATGTATGATAAAAAATTAAATTATGTAAAAATTTATAATATAATTTACATACACAAACACGCAACATTTACATCATTAAACAAATGATAAAAAAATAGTAGGTACTTTTAATAAAATATTAAAATGAATGTGAAATTTTGACTTTTTGCTACCACATGTTTTTAACCGTATAAACTGTACACGTTTATGATCATAAAAACTACGAAGGAAAAGATATCTTCAATACTACCATTTTTTTTAGAAGACAGGTAATGGCATTATTGAAAATACACCACATAATGCATAGGGATGCATATATGTTAAATCTACTACCTATCTAAATTATAACGACTATCTATCTAAATTATACTTATGCCATAAATAATATTAAGATAAAAAATCATATTAACTAATCGATATATTATTAAGTAGAATTTGCATTTCGGAAAGTCGATGAAGTCTTGCAAAATTTTTACCAAGCTTTTTAAATTAAACATCGATGTTTTCGTAAAATATCACAATGAATTCTATCAATTAGTGTGAAACTAACAAAAACTTCAAAGTAGTCAAACTCATTCCTTGAAAACATGTTACATATTTAACGTTTTAAAAAATATAAATTAAGGTTATAGCCCGGTCAATTTAAATTTAAAATCAGGGTTAAGGTTACTATAGTTCATAATGGGCTGTAACTTGGCAAAATTGTTTCAATAACAATTATAAAAGAAGTCCTCATCGATCCGAAGCGAGCTAAAAAAATGATCAAAGTAAAAGGCAAGGTTTTCACATGACCTTAATATTTTATTTACCCTTAATGTTTTATTTACCTTAATATTATATTTACCTTTGTCATTAATTAAATAACATATTGTATTAACTAATAAATACACGATTAAGTATTATTATCATTATTATTATATTTATTTCATGATTAAGTAAATTTGCAATTCAAACCCGTGACTTTAACACAATAAAGTCTTGCATAGTGTTAAAGAAAGTTTTTGAAAATTTATTCTAACCACATATTCTAAAAATTCGTTATCAACTAACAAACACACACATATTCTAAAAATTCGTTATCAACTACAAAAAATTTCAAGAAGGTAACTGATCCTTACAAAATATGTTGCATATTAAGTTAAGATTCGCTCGAATTGTTTCGAAATGATTGAAATAGATTTCCTGCTTCATTCAAGTCATGTGGATAACATATTTTCGAAATAAAAATCACGTATGTATATATATATATATATATATATATATATATATATATAATCGTGCCAAAGTATATGTAGTAAGTGCATTGGTCGATTTACCGAAGATGAATTGTAGTGATAGGAAATAATGGATATAGTCTAAGTACGTCAAAAACTCATTGCATGCTCGTAGATCTGCAAAATGAAAACTTTATATATAGGTAGGTACAAGGAAATGTTGAGCAGAGTCGAATCTTGATCTAAAATTTTATTTTATTTTTGTTCATTAGAATGATTAATAGAAAGCCTAAAAATTTATCCTTAAACTTCTGGAGCTTTATGGAAATTACGCCACAAATATTAATCTTTTGTTGAATATTCGTGGTGGTGGCCAAATAAATCATTTTGTTAATACATCTCGAATAATCTAATAATATATGTGTGTTTGTTGCTTTACTGTTGTTCGACTTTAACACTTTAACACTTTATTTGAATCATGGGATCAATTTTCTTTGCTTTAAGTGCTTTCGGACACTTGCAATGACTATTAATATGTCCCAGGAACATTTATGTGAGGCATGCGTTGCTGTTAAACCATCTATATAAGGGCAAATTCTGTCGTGAAATAGACCAATGTTTTGGTAAAACTATGTTACGTGGCGGTTTTCATACATAATCGTACTAAATGCTGTCAAAATGCCATGTATTTGCTGCACGATCAGGCGTTTTACGAATAAAATGAACTTTACACATATGTACTAAACGATATCACAAAAAATAAGTTATCATAAAATCGTTTTTTTGACATTTGTACGTAGAATTAGTTTTTTTTTTAACTAAAACGCCTGACTACAAAGCAACCACATGGCTTTTTACAGTATTTAGTACGATTTTGTACAAAACTGCTACATAAAATAGCCTTGCCATAACATTGGTCTTTTTACGGCAGAATCGGCCCCTTAACTTGTATTAGCTGCCGCTTTCACTTAACCACACACTTCTACATTCACCATCAGTAAGTTATTTTCTATATTAAAAATTTTCTAGACATATTTGTTATGGAAACAACCTAGTTGCCGGCCACCTAGTTTACACACACATGTATGTATATATATATATATATATATATAATATTTAGTTTTTTTGTTCGACGTTGAGACATATACTTGAGTGTTAATTTGTAGCTAATCGTCGAAATAAAAGAAACAATAAATAAAGAACTATTTATTTATACGTTTCAATACGATTGTGCGTCATCATTCACAATTTTTTTGAAATTTAGTATCACTCCAGGAAAAACAATAACAACAAGTTAAAATAACATATAGAAAATAAACAATAAGAAGTAAAAAAAAATATTGTTAAGTTTTTTCAAATTTTGAGAATGTATGAAAAAATAATGTATATGTGTGAATAGATTATATATTATGACATATAGAGATGAACATTGAGAGTGTTATTAAAGGCAACAAACGAGTAATTAGAAATTAGATGTGAAAATAGAGACGTACAAAAGTAAATAATATTATGTAGTGAATTGTATGTTTAAATTTAACGGTAATATTAGTTTAAAATTAGTAAGATGGATGGCACAATGTGTATGAAGTTAGATAGACCAGCAGGTATGTGAATTTGCTGTCTGGTGTTAATTGAAGTTTATATATATATATATATATATATATATATATATATATAAATAAATATATATGAGATATATTTATATATAGTGTCGCGAGTAGTATTGCGAAATAAAACATAGGTTATCGTTTAATATCTGAAATGTTCACATTTAACTATGCTCCATCTAAGCCTTCTAGTGCGGCTCTGTGCTTATTCTAGCTTTACGTGTCATTTTTACTCGATATTTTCAAAAGCATTTCTCCCATTGCATCCGTCACCCCGTGTATTATGCGGCAAAAACATGCGATACATCACCGCCATCCGTTTTGTCTGATTGGTCCGAGAGAGAAAATCGAGTTCTCTCCATGGTTGTCATACAAGAAATGACCATAGGGTCAGGTAGGAATGGATATATATATATATATATATATATATATATATATATATATATAACGTACATATATTTTTTATATTTATTTATTTTTGGTCCATGGCGGTGCGCGTATGTGACTAAAAAGCGATAACCTTTTTATGTCCGTAGAAATACAGGTAGGTAAAGGTATCGAAGTACGTATATTCCAACTCGAACACGTTCCAATACTGTATATTGTTTTAGAATCAAATAGGGATATTCAGTTTCAAATAATCGAAAATAATATTATAACTCTACATATTTCAACTTCATAAAAATTTTAAAGCATTGCCAGATATTTATTCTGTTATTTCTTGATCCAGCCCCAGTAAGAACTGTTGATTGTAAGCCGCCACCTATATATATATATATATATATATATATATATATATATATATATATATATATATATATATATATTAGATAACAGAAAATGTATGCAAAATCACTTTACGAAAGCGTTGCCAAAATTTAATAAGGTTTGATCGAAATACATGAGATTGTTTGCTAAGTGCAATGCTATTAGTGCACCAGCTTTCGTGTGCAAAATATGAAATGAATTCTGAATTGAAACAGTAAATAATTTTCATAATATCATTTAAATGTTAGTGAAACTATATATAGGATGAATTATAAATTCCGACAACCTTTCTAATCCAAACAATTTTGCAGAAAAAACTAACATCAAAACTATTATTTGTCTCATGTCTCTTGAGCAAAACAACTACGAAAATTTATTATATGCATATTTTTGTAATAATTACTGTTTAATTTTGGCAATGTTTAAATAAAATATAGGTAAAGCTCTGTCAGAGAAGTAACTCATCTCCCGTTTTTTAATGTGAATAAGTATAGCATAAAACTGGTTATAAAATAATGTGTTAAACTTATAAAAAATTAATATAAAGATTATTGAATGCGTATTTTTTTCAATATTAATTTATTTAATCCTTGTGTTAATACGAATAATATGAAATGCATTGAAGTTTTGTCAAATCCACAAAGGATGCTTAGAAGGATTAGTTTTTACTACCATACAACCTAAAATATAAATATCTTTAGTATATATATATATATATATATATATATATATATATATAGTTATTATAACTTAGTAATGAAACGTATATTTTAAGTCCATTTTTTTATTTATCAGGAAACATACATTCCTAAACATTCATATCCATATGCGAATTTTAAAATCTGTTTAACCATATCAACTATATTGCCTCATGGAATCCTTAACAATATACCATTTATCTCCTTGAGCAGTTACTACAAGGGTTTGATGAAACGATCTTTGCACCACGTCAGAGGATTTGAGTTTGTAACTTACAGCACCACTAGCTAATATGAGCAGTTGTGGCTGTGAGCGAATTATTTCATCTACGACTGGTAGCGTATCCAGAGACACTAACCGGTGTTCTGAAGATGGTAGGTCTAAAAAATAATCTTGTATTGTTTTTTGGCCCAATATTGGAATTCCATTCCAAACTAAAAGTCCCCCTTCCAAATATAGCTCTGACATAGAGTGACGTCTCTTGTCCATTCTCTTGTAATATATTTTTATGAAGTTATCAGCTGTTTGGCAAGCTTTCATTAAATCCATTATTTTTATAATTTTGATATTTTATTTAAAAACTGCAATAATGTAAACCAATTATATTCATTGAAACATAACCTTAAAACACTTGTCACCTTGCCAAATCGTAGTGTGCCAGAAATTGAAATGGAGTTAGTAATTTGTTTGAAATTGTTAAGGAATTAAATATTACCACCAAACTTTATACTTTTTTATCTATGATTACCACCAACCAGTGTAGAGTTTAAATATGATCAAAGATATAATACAATTATATATATATTATATATTAATTGAATTATAAAAATTCAATACAAAATAAATAAAATGAAATAAAATAGGTTAAATAAATTAATTTAATTAATATAATTACAGATATTACAAGTATGTTTAAGAAATAAATTAGAAATCATATTTTTTAATTATATTTTTTCGAAAAAAAATATTTTTGAAGTAAACATTAATTTTTTTTGATTTTTTAAATGCACACAATTTATATTCATATGGATGTATTAGGAAACGTCTATTTCAATATTTCTTATTCTCCAGTTTTATTTATACTTATGATTGCATACAAAGTTTAATATTTTATAATCTGGCAACTTTTTTCTAACTAGCCAAAATATAAAGAAATGTCAACATTATTATTCATCACTTCGCATATAAATTCATATGCATATTTTTGTAATTATAATTACCGAGGCTAAGCTCCGTTAGAGAAATAACTACTTTTCTATTTCTTTTTAATTTATATAATATTTTTGACAATGGTCGTTGTTTGCGTCACTTTTTCGTTAGGTTGCACACCTGCAAATATTTTATTTTCATATTCGGACAACACTAAGATCGGGTAATTACATCAAAAATAATAAGCCGGTGTATAATCACTAATCTTGACAGCTCCTTATGATTCTTGTTCATACTATCTTTCTGACAATTTTGTTCGAGTATCTTTCTCCATTGTATAATAAGTAGTTTAGTTAGAACTTATTTATTGTTATAAGAGTGTTCGAATTATTGGTTTTATTCCTTAACCATTTCAAATAAACTACCAACTTCAAGTCACTTTCTGCGATTGGAAATTGACAAGTATTTTGAGGTTATGCCAAAGTGTTTAATTAAAAGAATAGGCTGCCTTTTTGTGTTTGACATAATCAAAGAAATGGAGCTAAATACCAATGTAAAGAGAGCTTGCAGCATAGCAGAAGAGTTTATTAAACTATATTATAACGCAATGGACAATAGACGTCATACAATGTCAGATCTTTATTTGAATTCTGGAATTCTGATTTGGGAAGGACATTCATCAGCTGGAAAAGAAGCGATTCAGAAGTATCTCTCGGACCTGCCCCCTTCAGAACATGTATTAATAGCTTTAGATGCTCAAGCAGTAACAGGTGGAGCCGCTGGATCACAACCAACGATTTTAATAACATCTAGTGGTATAGTCAAATTTAATCCCAAATCTACTAAAGTGACGCAAATATCATTCCATCAGCATTTTCTTTTGACATGCCAAGGTGACAGCTGGCGCATCGTTAGTGATACTGTAAGACACCAACGATGATAAAAATGTATTGACTTTGAAGTTTGAAGTGAACTTTGTAATTCTTATTCTCATATATTGATGATTATGTTTGTTCCGAAGTAAAAGAATTCGGATAGAAATGTAATTTTCCAAATAAATAAAATCAAATAAAATAGAAATATCAGTTTTATTATTAAGTTAATAACTTGTATATATTACCATATAATATATATATATATATATATATATATATATATATATATATATATATATATATATATTGCACTCCAACTAAAGTTTCTTGGTTCTTCTTCCTAAGAAAATACTTAATTAAGAGCATATATGAAATGTTCGTATTATTTTTTTTATTTATGATCACAATAAGAAAGTACTATGTTATTGTCAAAATTTTGATTAAATAATCGCTAAGTTTTAAAATTAAATATTATGGACTATACTAATTATATATATTAGTATAGTCCATAATATTTAATTAAACATTAATAAAGAACAATCTGAATCTTATTAACTTCCCGTAGGGCAAGTTATAGTAATCGCAAAAAAATCGAAAATAAAATTTTTTATATATCTTTACGTTTCAAAAACTTCTGAACATTTCGGCATACCTTAGAAAAAATTGATGTATGTGTGTGTGTGCGTGCGTGTATGTATGTGTGTGCGAATACAAATTTTCGTCGACGATTTCGGGAACACGGATGAAGCGATTCGAGTAATTCAAAAAACATTCGATTCGTATTGATAAGCAGACGTGCTGATTAGTTTTTGGCGAAGGCAGGTCTAGCCATTTTGAAGATACGGGGCGAAAAGTGCCAGATATGGTTACTCGGTTTTTATGAGAACGGAGCGTCCGACTTTAATAATCCAAGAAACATTTAACTTGTATTGACAAGATGAAGAAATGATCAAATTTTCAGAATGATCAAAAGCAGGTCTAGCGGTTTCGGAGATCCAGTAAAAAAAGTAAAAAAAAAGCCATTTGGCGGTCAAAAATGATCATTAGACATATGCACATCAAATTCAGAATTTCCAAAATACATCAAAATAAAGAAAACTTTTATTCCAAAAAAAAATTTTTTTGTCATATTTATAGTTTCTCAAAAATTTAATTTGTTCGAAGTAAATTTTTTTCAACAATGTTAATCTTTTTAAAAAAATAATAATTTTTAGTACAGAAAGTTCCAGCAATTTGCCTTAAGGCACGATGCCATGCGCCCCACTAGTTAAGTCTTACTTTTAAGTCCAAAATAAGAGTAGTAACTATCCAACTCATTTACAAACCACCCAAGTGAAAACGTTTGCTTAGTCAAATATATCGTACTATTGAACAGTACCAAAAGAAGTTTTTTATAATTTTTAGACAATATAAAGCCATTGAGCAACCTTACCCTACATACTCGATTCACAAGAAACCGCGTCGCGCTTAACACGTCATTATGCAGTGTTTGAAAATCATTAAAATGACAAAGTACGTTATAAAAAAGCCATCAAATGTCGGTTTAATTTTTTTTGTTATGAAATAGTCCTAAAAATCACATAACGATTTGCCTGCGTTCTTACCGGCACAAACACTTACGCACACGCACGTATTTCGTACCGGTGTGCGTGCATCGGTGAACGTAAAACATACACATTTTATAGAGCTCACAAAATGGAGGGGTTTTACGATTACGGTTAAGTTCTACGAGCAATCTTATTTGTCATTAAATTAAACATACACAAATGATTATATAAACTTCGCTATTCAGATTGATGTATTAATAAGAACTTTCGACTGGCAGAGATGTAATCCTGAAAAAATGGGGAACCAGAAAATTTTCAAATTAAACATCAAAACGCATTCTTCGATAAAATAAAAATGTTATGGTAACACTATGTTACGGGTCTATCTTTGCATGAATTGATAGTAACATTGGTAGCATTGTTTCCTCACGAGGTACTTCAGTAACTTTACCATACATTATCTATATACCTATGAAGAGAGTTTATAGGGATGTATATACAATTTGGGAATTACATACAAGTTCACATACATACAGGATTTAGAAATTCAGGTTCAACTTTGTGTTTTATTTCAGTTTATGGTATTCATTTTTATATAAACTTTTTGATGTAATTTATGATACAATTCTTTGATAAAATAGAAATTTTATGGTAAAACTATGTTATTGAATTATCTTCGTATGAATTGGTAGCACCAAACTGTTAAGCTATGTATTTGATTTGCATCAGACGTTTCACACATAAATCCATAGCCTACAAAATAACAATTTTATCATAAGTGCATCTTCATGATGCCTTATTGATATCACATATGTGTAAAACGCCTGATCGCAGAGCAAAAACATAGTTTTTACAATTAGTTCTACCAATCCCTACGAAGATAGACCCGTGACAGTATTAACATTTCTATTTCATCGGAGAATTGAACCCTAAATTACATCAGAAAGTGGATATAAAAATGATAACCATAAATTGATGCTAAACATAAAATTGAACTTGAATTTCTTATTTCTGAGCCTGTATGAAATTCCCAAATTGTGTACAGAGATCTATTAACTATTCATACGTATGTAGGTATATGGATATGGTAAGGTTGTTCAAGTCGTACCCCCGAAAGAAATAATGCTATAATATCTAATGCAATAGAGTTAAAAAAAGTAAGGCGAAGAAAGACAAACTATTGTTATATTTTTATATTTGTGCCATTTGGAGGTTAGGTTTAACCATTGATTATACAGAAGCACGTACTTTTGCCAAAAGCATAGCTTCTTGGCATTTTGGGAGCTATCAAGCTCATGCGAATACTCAACCAAAGAGACCGGTAATATAACATCAAATAACTATTTTATCTGAGAGATGGCCCAATTATTTAGTTAGCTTATGATTAACAATTTTAACTTTTCTTCATTGAATTATCAAAAATATGCTTTAAGGTACCTATCGCATTAGTCGTACATACTACTAAAAATCTATAAAGAATTCAGTCTGAGATCAACTTTTCTTTAGCTATTGATTAGATAATAAGTCGAATATACATAACTAAAGTAACACCTAAAATAAAATATTCGTCCCAAAAATTAATGTACTTTTGAAATTATTAATTCAGAACTGAGGCAGAACTGTTCTTGAAGATATTACCATTATCGTCACCCCCAATTGGTGATTTTTTTTTAGCAAAAACCTTTGGAACTTTTCATTATTTATCTTTCAATATATATCTAACCAATACGAGCAAGATATTTTGCTCAAGTATGATTAAAGTTGCATGATATTCGAAGTATCAAACTATTTTAGTTTTTTTAGTTTAAAATTTAAATAACATAAATTGAACAAAAATGTGTGTTACAAATTATGTAATAACAAAGTTCTCGTTTTATATAAATGTTATCTACTAAACTGACAATTACGAATTAGGCCAAGATATCAAAATGTTGTCTAATTACATGTGTCAGTTTGTTTCAAATTCTTATTTCAAAAG